TTATATCAGTACCCTGAATTACTATTAATCCTGATACACATGTACTAGTCAAACATTTACAAAAGTGTTTCTTATAGAAGATGCCACTGCCAGAGGCTCCATAATACCTCTTCCAACTCCTGGAGGTGGCTTGACCTAATGAACTCCACTGCGAGATGACATGGGGTGGCAGCAGGCAGAGCACAGAACCACACAGCTGCTGTCCTTGTCAAGTGTGCTGAGAAACTGGGTCAAAACCTGAAGAAAAACTGCTGAGTTCCTGTCAGGAAAGACAATAATCCCCCCTGGGCACAAGAGCAGCAGAATGCCAAGAGCCAGCGGCAGGTACTAGGGACAAATGGAGTGGAGCCACAGAATTCCTACATGGCTGAGCAGAGGGTTCAACTAGTATGTGTGACTCTTTTTTTCCTTAAAAACCACAGAAGATGACAAGAAGCCCCTTTGTGGGCTCTGTGTAATCAGCCCGGCTTCTCTTCTGAAGTGATCTGCAGGTGTTGCCGACTGGTCAGAATGCCGCCCGCCACTCTTCTCTTCTTCCAAGTAGAAAGAGGTGGAGGTGGGTGGGTGGCCCCCAGCAGTAAGCATGTCATTACGTTCACACTTGATGCAGGAGCTAGTCGGCACCACTTGACATTATGAACCAGAGAAACCGTATCTTCTCCCAAAGTCACCAGCCAAATCTTCCCATGAAGACTGTGCCCGGCTGCCTATCTGCACAGGGAGAAGACCAGAGCAAAGCTAGAGCTGCTTGGTGGTACACAAGCTTTGGCAGGAACTCTGGAGCCACTGAAGTGATGGGAGATAAACTGACGTGGAAAAAATATCTTGGCCTCTGCCACATTGCTCCTAGGGGGGAGGGTGAACTATGAGAGGCATACAAAACTCATCAGAGCGCCAACCTCTGGAAGGACAGCTTCAGTTGACTTCTGGTACCATTAATCATCTTGAGTGGAGACAGGTTGAATGTGCTCAGAAATGCAGGAGTTGGAAGAGGTATTATGGAGCCTCTGGCAGTGGCATCTTCTATAAGAAACACTTTTGTAAATGTTTGACTAGTACATGTATATCAGGATTAATAGTAATTCAGGGTGTATTGCAGGTGAGTAGAGCTGCAGTGGAGCTGCTCTGACCTGGCTCTGTCCCTTCCTTGTTCTGCGACCTGCAAGCCTCTGGGCCTGGCTTTTCTTGTGCATGGAGGGTCACACCTCTAACCTGCAGGATCTAAAGGCCTCAGGAACAGAATGAGTTGCTTGCAGTGATTAGGATATCTGAGTGTAAATTACTTCTTCTCTCTTGAGTTTCCACCACTCCAAGTGAGTGGCCATTCAGGAAACTGTCAAGATTACCCACAAGGTTACACAATGTGACTTTAAGCTATTTTATGCCTTCTATAAGAGACTGTGAGGAAGGCTAGCTATGGCATCAAACAGAATGTTCTCATGTTTGTAACAAGTAATTAGGACATCCTTTCTAGGAAACTTGTGTAACCACTGATGAACAACATGGGTGGGGTGGGCGTGCGGATGAACACAGAAAAGATACCAGAACAAGATACACAGAAAGCTCAGCAGAGACTAACAAGCTAAGGCACTGAAGATCTTGGCTCTACCACATAAACCCTTGCCTGGTTCCTTAATGCCCATACCTAAAATCTGGTAAAAGTTGCCAAGCAGTCAATTGGTTAAGGACTGGGGAAGACAGCCCAGCCGTTCAGAGCACTGGGGCTGGAGACAGACAGCCCAGAGGTTCAGAGTACTGGCTGCTGCTCTTCTGGAGGACCAAGGCTCCATTCCCAGCACCTAAATGACTCCCTCTTCTAGGCTTGTGGGTACCCAGCACCAAATGTGGTGAACATGTTTTTTAAATACTTTTTTAAAAACTTTAAAGTATTGGTTAATATATAAGCAAACATTCTTAATGCATAAGCTAACATGGAGAAACGTGTCATCATCGACTGATGTGGGATTCCTTCCCCTTAGTATGCTGTGAATACCACTGGTTAATAAAGAAGCTGCTTTGGGCCTATGGCAGGGCAGAATATAGCCAGGGTGGTAGATAGAGAGTGGAGTCACGGAGATGCCAGGCACCTGTCGAAGGAGACAACCACCAGCTGCAAGCCAGAACCTTACCAGTAAACCACGAGCCTCACGGTTAAATATAAAATAACAGAAATGTGTTCATTCAAGATATAAGAGCTAGCTAGACATAAGCTAGAGTCATTGGGAAAAACAGTATTGTAGTTAATACAGTTTGTGTGTGATATTTCAGGTCTGGGCAGTTGGGAAACAAACAAGCAGTCTCTGTCTACAATCAACTAACTGTACCAGACACATCTGTCAATAGCTCCCTCATTCCTCAGTCCCCTGCAGATAGGCTGGGTCACTGAGAAACAGGTACAGGTGTTATCTAAGGCCTGAAGCTAAGAACTGGCTCTTGGCGTCCCTCTCTCTTCTACCTCTGCAATGGTGCAGGCTGTGCTGAGGTGAAGGCACACAGTAGAACGGCCTCAACACCCACTCACCACATGTCCAACAGCTGCCCCCAAGAAACTCAGCTTGTATCAAACTTTTAAGAAGTAGGTCTTTGTTGTATTTCAGAAACAGGAAACATTTGCTGAGCACCTAGAATGGTCCAGGCACCATATGTAGTGCTTTGATGTATTTTTAATAATTCTTTTCTTGTTACTGTAGAACAACAGTTCTGAGCTGGGGATAATTCTGGCACCCAGGAGTTATGGCAATGTCCAGACACATTTTTGCTTATCACTATTGAGGGAGAATTAGATCATCTAGTGGGTGGAGACCAAGACATTGCTCAACACCCCTCTAATAAAAAATAAAATGTTACACCAACCCAAGGAAAACTCCTCCCGTTGAAGCCAAACCAGGTGTCTCTTTGAAAGTCAGTGTTTCTTTTTCCAGATTTACATACACATTCTGTGTCTATACATACACACCCATATTTCATTATTTTTATGCTCAAATGGGGACAAATCCCACACAATGCTGTGTGAATCTCAGGTTCACTCTGCACCAGAGCCCACACACCAACAGGTCTGTGGGGCTGAGAGCCTTTCAGGTGTTCGTTCCTACAGTGCACTGCAGCACAAGCCCTTTCCCTTTTACTTTCCTAAAGCTGGCCCCACCCTGGATTCAACCTGCCTGGGAGAAACCAAGCACCTCCAAATGCCTGGGAACATCAATCCGGATTGAGGACTAGAGGAAATCCCACTCCCTTGGCATCAAAACCTCTAGAAACCTCAGGAATACCACTACTCCCAAAATACCATGTCACCTTGCTCTACTCCTTTCCTCACGATGCTCCATCAACCGCATCATCTCTCTCCACAGCCGTTCTTCAAAGCACTTAGGTGGCTCCCCCCGAAATCCCCAAACCCTCGCCTGCTCATGTTCGCCTGTGCCTCTTGCCTGACCACTGACTCCACTCCTCTTCTGAAATGTCATATTCTGTTGGATTCTGTGCCATCAACCCTGAGCTGCTTGGCTTGTAGTACAATTCTAGTAATACAGGATAAACATACTGGGCAGCAAGGTTAAGAGTGTAAAGGCTGAGTTTAGAGTAATCAGCACTGGGAAGTAATCCGAGCACTGGGAAGGCAGAGGCAAGAGTGTACATAACAAGTTCTAGACCATCCAAGGGTGCATAGTGAGATGCACCCTTGGATCTGAGAGAAAAAAAAAATACCAAGGCTGAGAATGTAGCTCAGTGTTACGAGTATTTATCCAGTGTTCCCCAGTACCACAGCACACAGGTCTAAACCAGTGAGGACCAATGTTGTTGATGTTCCTCCAGTATCGGAGAAGCAAAGGTGGCAACAGGTAGAAGTTAGAAACCTTTACACTTAGCAGATGGAGACTGAAGTCTTAAAATGGTGCATTGGAACAAATTAAAAAGGAGAGAAATCGTGACTGCACAGATAGAATAAAAGTCCAAACAAGCAATATGATGACGAAGAGATGGGATGGAGAAAACCATGTGGGTGGTAAAGTTCGGAAACGGTAATGGTCTTACTAAAGAAATGCAGACCAAGAACCAACCCTTGGGCAAAGACAGAGAAGCAAATCATGCCCTGTGAAGCTGCAAGATAAGAAAGTGGTGCAAGCAGGAGAGACTGACACCTCAATCAAGCAGCCCACTCTCTCCATCTGCACAGCTGAGCCGGACAACAGAAACGCACCAAGAGCTCCAGGGCAGTGGCAAGCCTCAGGAAAACTGAGGCAGTAAACCCGGGGCCTTCAACTAGTTAAAACACACACACACCACACACACACACACACACACACACACACACACACCACACACCAGAATAGTGACCAGAGACCAGAAGTGGGGCCTATGAGAAACCCAGAGGCACAGAAAACTATGTGCTTACTAGCTCAGACTGCTGCATGAAGAGGAAGCCCCTGACGTCTTTTGACTGTTTTACCCACCACAAATTACTCTGCAACCAAGGAAAGACTGTTGGCCTCAAAAGGGCCACTAGGCAAGTCAAGTTAGCCACACTCACTCTGCTCACCAGAGAGGCACCCTCATTTGCCCAAGGCTGGCTAACACAAGGTCCTCTAGAGCAGTGGCTCTCACCCTTCCTGATGCAGCGGCCCTTTAATACAGTTCCTCGTGTTGTGGTGACCCCAACCATGAAATTATTTTCATTGCTACTTCGTAACTATAATCATGCTACTGTTACAAATCGTAATGTAGGTATCTGATATGCAGGATATCTGACACACAACACTGTGAAAGGGATGTGACACCCAAAGGTGGTTCTCAACCACTGCTCTAGACAAAAGGCAAACTTCAGTTGCTTGCTGCTTTTTAAAACAGAGGATCAAAGCACAAGCAATTTCCTTCTGAATAAAATGAACACAAGTATTTACTAGTAAGGTATACAAATCCAACACATGTTGAGCCTAAATGAAATTCTATTCAACATCCTGTCAAGATGCACTTTGCATTATCAAAAAGAGGAGCCAGAGGGATGAAAGGCAAGACAGTTTTACTTTTAAATGATTACAAGCAAACCAAGTAACACGTAAGACATTCTTGAGTCCTAGCATCTAGTAATTTGGGCTAAGCTACACTAACAGCAACCTGAAGAAGCTATTCACTGTCCTAATCAGCCAGAATGGACTGCTGTAAGGCTGGCTGCTGCTTCCCAGGAGTTACAAATGCTACTTACTACTTTTTCATAGAGAACGCCCCTGACCTTTAAGAAAGTAGAAGGGAACAATTTACTCCCTTTCTTTCTTCAAAGAATTGATTTTTTTTTCTACTAGACTAATAAAAGATAAATCAACAGTGATACCTGCTGCTTGCACTAACACACAGGAAACATATATTCCTTAAAGACACACATAAAAAGATGAAACTTCAGGTACTTACTAAGTGGTACAAAAAGCGAGATTTGATACTCTCAAAAAGTGAAGGGAGCTACAACAGCATAAAGAAATAATTTAATGCCTTCCGGAACAGAACTCAGCGCTGTGAGGGCATCTCCCATGCCAACCACAGAGCAGGAGTCTCCACCGCTTATCCGTTTATGCGGTAATTTTCATGGATTTCTGGCCGGATGTCACACACAAAAGCCAAGAGGTTATCAAGGACTTCATCCCGGTTTTGCTGGAAGTACTTCTGGAGGATGGTCATCTTCTCCTGGGTCTCCTTCTCCACCTCACTGCTACAACTGCCGTGGGACCCCAGTGCCTGCAATGGAAGAGATGGGATACAAGGGGACATCAGGAAGATTCTGTGCTTGAGCCACTTAACAAGCAACCTCCTGGCTTATGGGAAAGCCCCAGTTCCTTAACAAGAAAGCAATATTTTGATGGCAGGCAAAATAACCCGTGAGCAAAGCTATGTGACAAACCAGGCCCTCCAGCAGAGCTCACTGCTATCCACAACAGTGTTCCAAGGTCTAATACACAGCCTTAGTAAAGACTGGAACCAACCTAAAGAGTCGACAACTACGGCACCACCCACAGTGTGCACACTTGTGATCCCAGCTACTTGTGAGATGAGAGCACAAGAAGAAAGCCAGAGTACATACAGAGGAAGGGATTCACACAGTTCAGTGCCCAGCAGTAGCAACAGTAGTGCTGCAACCAGCCAAGTGCACACACAAACCTCAACAACTGAAACTGATTACACTAGAAATGCCCAGTGTTTTATAACCTCACTGACAATATCCCACAAGCAACTGTGGTGCATGAGGACACAAGATGGCTGCTCTGACAGAGAATTTAGTGTGTGGTGTAACAATTTACAGTACCAATCTGCCAAGAAGAACAGTGCATACTTAATGCTCTTTGTGACTGCCAAGTGCAAAGAAAATGGAAGCCTGTGTTACTTAATGTTAAGAAGCAGGTACAGGTGCCCATGATAACTGGACCTTGGCCTGGATAAGTATAGGCCTAAAACCATTGGAGAGCACCACGCAGGGCTTGAGATTGAAGCACAGAAATGAAGACAGGAATGAGAAGAGCTCAGAGCAGTCACCACCACACCTGGATGAGGTAAACTCAATCTTTCACCTGGGTTTTTAACTAAGTCGATGAACTGCTAACCACTGTTCCCTGTATGGAACACCACCAGCTCCATTCCCCTCCCCCTTCTACAAATTCATCTGCACCCTTTGTTCCCCCCAAGATCTCTCAGTGCGTCATCTTATGCATCACCGTTGCCTACCACAGTGATAAACTCTGCTCTTTACTGAGGTTCAGGTTCCATTTTGTTCACATTTAGATGTCACAGCAGTCTTCAGAGCTGTAGGTTTGTAGGACTTAATGTAAGCTAAACTCTATGAAGGCAGGGTCAGAGCCTACCAGTTTCTGTCTTTCCCTAAAAGATTGCTAAACAACAAAATAAATGAAGACTAGACTCTGATACAGTAAATAAAAGTAACCATCTCAAGAGACAAGCTGAGTATCAAACAAACCACATAATAAACAGGGGTGTGGATAGGGGGAAGGGTCCTGGTAGCAGAGAACGTTACAGCAGGCAAAGGCCAAGGATGCAATCCCAATCCCTGGGACCATCAAAACCAGACAAACCCAACCCCTCAAAACTGCATTCATCTCCAGGCTATGCAGAGTATTTTCAGATCTACACAAGAAAGTAAGGCAATAATGAAAAGAAACAGAGGCCCACCGCAGCTTCCTTGGCCTTGAACTCCTTCTCCCTCTGCAGGCGATACTGTTCAATCTCAGCCTGGGCTTCTTCTTTGGCCTGCTTCAGCCTCCGGTTCTTTCCTGTTTTTAAAGAGAAAGACATCAGGAAGTATTTCAAAGCACAACAGCAAGTAAATGCTGCTGCTGAATCTTAACCTGATGAAAATAATTAATGTTAGGCAGCGGGGATGTGCACCGTTAATCCCAGCACTTGCACTCAGAAGGCACAGGCAGGTGGATCTCTGTGAGTTCAAGGCCAGCCTGGTCTACAAAGCAAGTTCCAGGACAGCCAGGGCTGTTACATAGAGAAACCCTGTCTCAAAATAAATAGATGATAGATAGATAGATAGATAGATAGATAGATAGATAGATAGATAGATAGATAGATAGATAGATCATACATAGATAAGCAAGCAAGCGATAATAATAATAAAAACACCCGAGAGACAGACAGGAAAGAGAGAATACAGATCTAAATTACAACGTAGGTTCTACCTCCAGCCTGTAAGTGGAGACAGCAAAGGAACGCCCTTTAGAGTTGTGAGCAGTGCATGAAGACCTCAGTTCAATACCCAGAACTGCACACACACTCCAAAGGGAACCTGTGAAAATGAAGACATGCTGTGGAATGTCAGCACAGTCTCTCAGTCTCAACTATTAACAATCTGGTAACATAAGATGGGTGACAGCGTCTGGGGAACTCTTCCTCATCCCAAATAGTCAACAGCTAGCTGTGTCACTGCTACAACTGCAGGTCTTAGGAGTCTGCTGGAAACTAACGCACTCAGGGAATATCACCTAAATGTAGTTAAGGAAAGAGGTGACGTAATAGTGGAAACAGGCACCAGGGCTGTGGAGAATGCTAAGTGCACACACACACACACACACACACACACACACAGCTGGGAGGGAAGAGAAGCAGGGGTTCGGGTCTCTGGAAGACAGCAGCTTAACATGGATTTGCAAAGTCTCCAAGTTGTCAGAATATAAGTTCAGCCAAGAGTCAACAGTCAACTCTGAGAGAGAGAGAGAGAGAGAGAGAGAGAGAGAGAGAGAGAGAGAGAGAGAGAGAGAGAGGAAGAGAGAGAGATCTGTGTAGCCTTGAATGTCCTGAAATTCACTATTCAGAGACCAGGTGGGCCTGGAACTCACAGAGATCTGCCTGCCTCTGTCTCCCATGTGCTAGAACTACAGGTGTATGCCACTGTGCCAAGTTTCACCAACAGAGAGTTCTAGATTAGCTTAAATAGGTTAAGTAATTTATAGTGAAAGACAGCATACATCTTTATAAAAATCAAGACATTACTGTATTATTAATTGTCTAAGGCCCACTCTACCCAAGTGGACAAAAGAAAGTGAACTGACTTCACTGAGATTAGGAGAATTCTGGACCTGTAATGATGACTGTGACATCAGTACTGTCTGACAAGTCTGAAACAGTTTCCCTACACTCCCCGAGGATTATTTCTGCAACTCCACACTTGTACACAGTGCTTACTTCAGCTCTCTCCTCTTCTCCCCCATCAGCTACATGGGCTACATTTAAAGCTGAAGACCTTTCCCAAACCAAGACTCTATCAAAGACATCCGTGGCCCAACCATTATGCAGAAACTGCAAGATAATTTCATAACTCGTCATTTCCAACTTCCACAGCTCCCTGAACCAGTCACTAAGACAAGACAACCACTGCCTTTTGGCAAATACCTTCAAAATTGTATTGACAGACTTCTGAAAAATCAATACCAGTAGATCACACAAATACACATTCCATTGGACCAGGAAGCCTGCACACTAAAGCAAGTTCACCACACTTCAATTCCCAGAGGTTCCCCCACCTCCGCTTTTGGGTTTTCATAGCCTGTGTTGGCCCCCAAGTTGGGGGTCCTCCTGTTTGGGATCAGCCTCCCTTACAGTTAGGATCATCGACCCCAAAGATTTCTTTTAAATAATGTCTTTCTCAGACCTTCTAAATGGGAACCAGGGTTTTTGTTTCACACCAATGAAATAAATCATGGAACACTTTTATTCTCAAAGTCCCAAAGTAATGATCTCACGAGAAACATAGGCTTGATTATTTTACACCATACACCGTTCCTTCCCAGCTCTGAGTCAAATGTGCTCACAAATCAAGAAGGGACAGTTTTCAAATTTTAGCTCTTTTCAACACGTCTCTTCCCAGTATTGACAGTCTTATAATGTGAGTTAACTGTAAGCTAAGCCCTTTAAAACAAACTCCTCCAGCAAATAACAGCTAGCTGACCCACACGAGCTCCTGCAGCCGAGAAAGGTTGAAAAAGTACAAGTCAGTCCTTCCCACCAGTCCAAGTATCTGTTCTCGCGCCTCCTCCAAAAGGTCTCACATGCTTCCCCCCCCACACCTGCTGTGGCCCCTGAGTCATCTCTGGACAAACTGACAAGTCACTCTGGAAATTCTGGATCAAGAATATGGCGACAGACTTGCCAGTCACCCGAAAAGGCTGCACACCATCCCCGCACTCACAGAAAACTTCTCCAGGAAATAAAGAAGAACACAACTCCTACCAGAGCCACACCTGAAGTCTACTTGGGGGTGGGCGTGGTGACACACGCCTTTCAAGCCAGCACTGGGAGTAGAGGCAGGCAGAGCTCTGAGAGCCTGCCTCAAAACACACACATAAATGGGTACAAGTTTTATACTAAGAAAACTTCCTTGTACTGTTTTCTAGGGTGTGTTCAAATGAGTCATGCTTTTTCCACCTATAAATAGGAGTAAGTAAGTATATTGCCTGCTTACCTTGGAAAACTGATAGATAAAGTTAGAAACACAGTCAACATTTTCCTAAAGTTTAGTCTAGAGACAGGGCCAGGCAAACCAAAAATTTACTGTAATACTATGTCAAAAATAAGAACCGGGGGAGGGACTTCCAACCTTGTCTGAGGGCAGGAGAGGCTGCCCAGGAACAGCTGCCTACATTCTGAGATCCAAAAGACTGGCCGTTTGGGTACGGGACACACGCACACGCGCACACACACACACACACACACACACACACACGGAGAAAGGTACTTCCAATCAGAGGGAACAATGTGCAAAGGCTTGCAGGAACCCAAATGAAGCTGCCATGAAGGCGCCCAGTGATTCAGTACGGCTGGAAGAGAATGCCACACGGAAGAACACAAACGCCTGATTGAACGAAGCGCTTTAATTCGTTATGAAATACCAGCTCCAATCTGCGGGCGCTATGGCACTGCCTGGAAGGAAGGGGAGTGGGGAAGTTATATGCACATTCTAAGCAGGTGTGAAAACACTGGTTGCAGAATACGACTGGCCCCTTCCACCCCTCACACGGGTTAGACCGGTGTGGTAAAATGACTTCTGACCGCCTTGCCCCTCTCAACACTGGCCTTTCACTACCTACACACATCTGTTTAGTTGGTATGTGCTCCTCCACTGGAACATGAGATAGCCTGTGATGAAGAACGGGGCACTCCTCTAGCCTAGTTCAGGAGGAAAACAAAAAAGAGAGAGAGAAATGAACGAGTTAGGCAGCTACATGAATTCGGGTGGTTGAACTAAGATGCCGAAGCAAGAGATGGAACGGGGTCCGGACAGAGAGGCTTGGCAAAGGGCTTAAAATGACAGGGGAGGAGGCCAGGATGATTTAGGTTCTCAGACTCGACCACTGTGGCGCTGGCTCCCGCGACTGGGCCGAATCCTGAAGCAGACATTAGGTGGGTGCAGTGGTTTCGGTGGGTGGCCCGCTACGCGCCCTCCACCCGGAGAAGGGGACAAACCCACCACCGTCTCCACGGACAGCGTGTGGTCCCGCCTCGCGGCTTCCAGGCGCCGCATGGCCACCTTCTGGCCCGGACACTGTCCCCGACCTCCGCCCGCGGCCTAACCTCCGTCTCCCGCCCGGGATCCCGCCCCGCCCCGGAGCTCACGCTTGCGGGCCTCGGACACCTTCTCGGCCGCCCGCTTCTCGGCCTGCAGCAGCTGCTGGATGCCTTGCGACTGACTCGCCATCGCTGCGGGGACCCTCGGCCGAAAGAACGGCCTAAATCAACGGCTTCAACACACTAAGGAGGCCCCTGGGTCAGCTGACCAGCCGCCCACGATCTGCGCCTGCGCAAAGCGCCGAAGCCCCGCCCCGCGCCGGTGCCGCGGCTGACGCCTAGGCGTCCAGTGTCTCCCGGGAGGTGGAGCAGGGCTGAACGAGGCGGAACCGGATTGCTGAGCAGCTCACTGAGCCTGCGCAGTGAAAGGGGGGTGGGGAGGGCAGCTGCTGCTTTTCCCTTCTATGTCTGTTAATGGCTGGTTTTGTTGTTGTTGTTTGCCTGGTACTGTCCCTATATGGCAGCCCTGCCACGTGGTTATTTCCTTTCTCTTCAGCTAGACTCCTCACCTTTCTGGAACTTCTTCAGAATTGAGAACCTATTAGCAAGCAGTGCTGGCAATAGGGGCAGGGGAAGAGGGGAGGCAGGGATCCTCGGATCTATGGATCCTTTTAGGGATACTGTTCCCTTCCAGCCTAGTGCCTGTCACATGACTGCCCTTTCTCAGCCCTGTTATCCTGTGGACAAATGGATAAAGGCCTGAGCCAGTCGTTTCTGCCTCACCTGTAGGAAACAGGCTGACATCTTTAACTTCCACAAGCAGACGGTTAAATGTGAATAATTACACCACATGGGCAACCAGGGCTGCTGCCATTTTGTTTGAGCTTAACAAAGGGAGGAGCCAGAGACTCTTGAGGTTCTGCCCCTAGCCAGAGAGTGCCCATTTGGTGTATTTGCTTGATGGTTCACCTTGGCAGAACCCGGCAAGGTGTCCATTACACACAGAGACCCACCTACAGTGCCTCTCCTCCCCTGCAACGACTCTGCTTTCCCGATAAAAAGGTCAGCTTCCTCTCACTCACTTTTCATTTAACTTTATGTGGAACTTAAATTCAACAGTGTGTAAATGTATGTATACTCACTGTTAAATGTTGTAATTGTCTGTTCATTGTATCTGCTCCAGACTATGAAAACAGTCAGTCTCACATTTTAAATTGGTATGTACTCTTAGTTCTCTTACAAAAACACTGTATATGTAATCCAACCCTGCTTTAAAATATATTAAGCTGACAGACAATCATAGGTTAAAAAGAGTAAAGAAAAATTAAAAAATTAAGCTGTTTTCCACTATTGTCAGTTCTACCATTAAGCTTCTATTACAAACAGTTTTTTCTTCTTTGTCTTTCACAAGAAAAAAATCTCACCTGTTAAGTTGAGAGCCAGTACAGTCAAGCTTGGACCCAGCTCTCCAGGCGGATTCTATGCTGTAAGTATAACTTATCTATACCCAATAAACATCCCTCAACTGCTCAGAGATCTGGGGAATATGGCATTTAAATGTTTAATTATTAAAAGACTTTTCATAACAGAGAGACAGGTTGGCTCCTAGCAGCAGCACTCTGTTTCCTCCAAAGAAAACAGAAGACAGATGGGCACAGTAACGTCCATCCACAATTCACTTCTTCAAGAGAAAGCGCTAACCACTGGGAAGAACTGCCTTTCATCTAAACTGAAGATCTCCAGATGTGGACGAAGAATCAAATGGAATCGACTTGCCTAGCTGCTCAGGCCAAGGTAGGCTTGTCTTCCTACAGATTTTCTAACCCACAGGATCTTCTGGAGCCTGGCAGGCCCTGCTTCTAACAGCAGAAGACAAATACAGCCCTGATGCCCTTGCCCTCAACGACCGTAGAGGATGCTGAAGCGTGGCTGCATGTAGCCAATAGAGAAAGTCCTCTGTCATTTTTTAAATCAATAACTCAAGTAAAATTTTATCCTTCTCAAAGATCTCTGATGCCCTTTGACAGATGAGAGGTTTTATCAGTTTAAAAGACAGCCTCACAGGTGGATCTCTGTGAGTTCGAGACCAGCCTGGTTTACAGAGCTAGTTCCAGGACAGGCTCCAAAGCCACAGAGAAACCCTGTCTCGAAAAACCAAAAAAAAAAAAAAAATTAACTAGAAGTAGTGTGGGTCAGCATCTAGCATTTAGTAGGTCCGTAAACATGTTTGGGTAACATTGTATGTTTTAGTTGTATGTCCCTCAAGAATGCAGGCACTTTTATTATATAAAGGTATCAGTGTTTTAGGAAGCATTAGTATTGATCCCGTAGATATGACTTGCAATAACCACATTTCATCTTAGAGACAGAAAATCAAAAGTTGGCCACTGACCAGTAAATAACATGTTATAATGAAATTCACTAGGTGGCAATCTTGGTCTCAATATGGCAAGTGTTGAGTAATTGACNCCACAGAGAAACCCTGTCTCGAAAAACCAAAATAAATAAATAAATAAATAAATAAATAAATAAATAAATAAAAGACAGCCTCACCAAACAAATTTCATAGTCTTAAGATATACAAATGCAAGTTATTAAAATGTGTACCTGCAAGTTATAAAGGTGTGAGGACAAATACAATTATCAAATTTCTCTCTCACGCTGTCTTTCAGGCTTAAAGATACTTTTCATTGTACAAAAACATCTGTCACAGTCATTTTGACATAAATATGCTGCTGTTTATATAATGTATATGTCTAAAGCTTATGTCTTCACAAACTCAAAGAATTCTTATGAGTTCCAGGGAGCTGAATTGTAGGATCCACCTTAAACAGGTCAGATATACCCCTCTCAATTCCCTGGTCCTAAATATTTTTTTCTTCCTAAATTTAACTTTGTCCTCTGCTCTGCCAACATCTCACCAGGTCCAAAAAACACCAGACAGTTCCGCACCACGAATCATGGATAGGAGTAAAGCGACCAGCTTCCCCAGGATGTAACCAGAGCCCAGCAATCTTAGGCCCCTCCAAGAAAGACTTCGACACCCACAGATAAGCAGGAAGCAGCACTGATAATCCGCCGTCCCAATTCCTTCACTCTGCTATGCCTAACTCCTGCCTTTTTATTATAAGAAAAAGATGGGAATGTAATCTGCTGGCCTGGTCTGTCACCTGGATACCTGTCCCTTTAAGAGACGAGCCACGCCCACTCCCAACCCCCCCCCAGTGCTGAGACAAGTGGATCTCCCACCAGTGCTCATTGTGAACACTAGCTTTGCTCTCTCTCTCTCTCTCTCTCTCTCTCTCTCTCTCTCTCTCTCTCTCTCTCTCTTTCTTCCCCTGCTTCTTCCCTTCCCCTTCCTCTCCATAAACCTCTAAATAAATTCTATACCAAACTCTCTGTCTGTCTCCCGCGGAGGCCTCAGGCCACCTGCTGAGGGGTGACCCACTGCTGCCCTCCTGGGACCAGGTCCCCCACCATATCTTTATATCACTAGGACAAAGTCAGAGGAGTCACCAGCAAACACAGAAAGAAACAGGATGGGCATGCCACACTGAGAAAAAGTACTGAGCCGTGTGGCAAAGCATAGATAAAAAATTGGGGTTCATTTCAATGTAAGAGTTAGCTGGGCGTGGTGGTGCATGCCTTTAATTCCAGCACTCAAGAGGCAGAGGCAGGTGGATCTCCATGAGTTAAAGGCCAGCCTGGTCTTCAAAGAGTTCCAGGCAGCCAAAGATACACAGAGAAATCCTGTCTTGAAAAACCAGGAAAAAAAAAAAAAAGAAGAAGAAGAAGAAAGTAAGGCATAAGAGCTAGCTAGTCACAAGCCTGACCCACTTTCCGAGCATCTGAGTGCCATTTGGGAAGTGGCAGCTGTGGGAAAGAGAGGTCTGCCTACAAGCAACAACACAATAAATGAAACTTTCATTAGTCTGTATTGATTCCAAGTAGATCTGGTGCTATTCTAGATTCATAGACTAAACATTGACCCAAACCAGTGGCTCTCAGCCTTCCGAGTACTACCACCCTTTATAATTCCACAAACTGTGCTGACCCCACAAGCACAAGATTATTTTCATTGCTACTTCTTAACTGCAATTTTACTACTGCTATGAATCACAATGTAAATATCTGTACTTTTCAATGGATTTAGGTGAACCCCAAAGGGACTGTGATCCATAGGTTAAGAACCACTGATCTAAACTGAATATGGTGGCACAAACATATAATCCCCATACTCAAGAGGCAGAGGCTGGTGGATCTCTGATGTGGGATTCCCCTCTGTATGCTGTGATTACCATTAAAGAATAAAGAAACCGCTTTAGGGCAGAATTCAGCTAGGCAGGGAAAACTAAACTGAATGCTGGGAAGAAGAAGGCGGAGTCAGGAAGAAGCCATGGAGCCTCCACTGGAGACAGACACACTAAAACTTTGCTTGTAGGCCACAACCTACATGGTGATGCACAGATTAATGGAGATGGGTTAAATTAAGATGTAAGAGTTAGCCAGAAATACGCTTAAGCTATTGGCCAAACAGTATTGCAAATAATATGGTTTCTGTGTGATTATATCTGGAGTCTAGGCGGCCAGGAAACAAACAAGAGGCTTCCTACAACAGATCTCTGTGAGTTCAATGCTATGCTGACCAGGTCTCTACATAGTGAGGATGGCCAGGACTGCATAGAGAGACCCTATCTCAAGAAAACAAACAAACAAACAAACAAACAAATGACTTAATAGGGGCTGTAAAGATGTCTTCGTGGTTAAGAACACTTAGTGTTCTTGCAAAGGACCTGGGTTCAGTTCCCAGCACACATATGGTAGCCAATAACTGTCTGCAATTCCAGTTCCAGAGGATTCAACATCCTCTTCTGATCACTGGGAATTGCATGCAGGTGCTGCACAGTCACATGAAGATAAAATATCCACACACAAAACTAAAATAAAATAACACACAAAAGAACAAAATTAGCTTTACTATTTTATGCTTGTTGGGTGGGAAACTATCAAAAAAGGAAAATAATGTAGACAAGGGTATGAGGAAAAGAGAACCCTTGAGCATCCCTGTCTATAATTTTTACATTAAGGCAAAAAAATTAAAAATACCTCATGGTCCAGCAGTTTTACTTCTGAGTATGCACTAAAGGACCTTAGAGAAGTATCTTAATTGTTTATATACTTCATAGCTGTGATAGTGGCTGCTCCTTTTGCTTTATCCTTGGCATCCCCTCCCTTGACTCACCTCAAGGTTACCTGTTCCTATACCTCCCCTTTTGTTAATCTTGT